TACGCGCGCTCATATTGATCAGTGTTTTTCATTAATAATTCAAAAACCGTGGCTCACTTTGCATTTTACCAAAGGAAATTGTTGTTCAGAAATACTTCCAGAATCACCTCTTTTCGGGTTTAACACTTCTTCTGGGAAACCTTGTATGTATACATACGTACAATGCAATATCTGCACGTGGATAGCTTCGACTAACTCATATTATTTTTTCGCAAAAAATTATATTTAATATAAATACAATAACAGAAATATGTGAAATGATGAAATATAGAATTGTCGTAAATGTTTCATCACAAAGCATCGACTAATACTTGAAGCTTTTCATATGTTCACCCAGAAGCCTGTTATATTTTCAACAACAATATATGTTCCAAGTATCTACATCAATATGAACTAATCAAATTATTACTAATTTATAATGCAAAGCGATCTAACTTGAAGATCACAAGAATTTTTCCGAGAATTGAGCTTACAAGCTTGCACGCAAATATTAATTTTCACCCGAGGCTATTGAAGTGAAGAGCACTGTATGTACAGTCGACGTAGCACAATCCAATAAAACCGGTTGTATCGAATCGAGTACTCGAACCATTCGGGCCTCAACCGACTCTATCGCAATTTTGCTCCGATCTCTGTCCATCCATTCCCGGCCGGCCTCCCTTCTCGACTTATTGAATTAATTTCGCCGAAATAAATTACCCTCGCCTATTCACGCCGCGCCGGTTCGACTTTCATTTCCGTCGGTGCCAACCGAGTGGGATCGACTAAATGACCGGCGCTTGCGCGTATAAAATGATGCTCCGTGCCCATGAAAGTTTCCGGCTTCGGAGGCACCACCGGCGAACCGAGAGCGAGAGTTCGATGAAAATTACCACGGGATTCGTTTTTGGGATCGATTTTACCTGCTGCCGTGTTTCAGCCGGATTTGATTAATTATCCCCCATTAATCTCAGTCTCCCAACGTCGACTGGCCCGGTTTTGCGCGGGCCGGTAAAGGAGCCGTAATTTCAAAGACGAAACTTCTCGGTGGCGCGCATTAATCACAATACGTCGCTTATTAAACGAGCTGTCCCGTTGGCCACGGTAAACGAGGTCGACTCCGCAGCCCTTGGCCGACCCCCTCTGTTAATTTCCAACCCGAACCGAGTCGAGTCGCGGTGCGTGCGTTACGCCCGGTATATTACGTTCCGCGTGCACACCAGTTACAATTAAGCTGAGTTTAGAACATTGTTTTGAAAGTTATACTAAGAGGCGGCCGTCTTTTGAAGGTTTCATGAGATACCAGAGTTACCGAAGAATTTAGTTAAGGTTTTGTTAGTCCTGTGAGGAACTCTCTGAAGATGTTAAATACTCCAATGCCGAGCTACGAACTTTCTCCAATTTCTTACTACGATACGCCGACGGGTTATAATCAGATTAATCTTTTTTTTTTTTTTAAATAACTATGAAATTCACGACTTATAATGGATTAATTGTTTCATGAGAAAGACTATGGAATCTAGTTTTTATACAAAAGTAAAAAGTAAGCATGTTTCGGTTGACCTACAAGAATTATTTCATTCTTTACGCTGTCATTAATATTGAACTGAACTAATTATTTTTGATAAAGTGAACTTCAGAAAAAAGTAAAATCAATGAAAACCATAAACTTCTATTTACATGTTCACATGGCACCTTACGAGAATATATATTCACGGAGTTTACATTTTAGAAACAAATACTTATTAATATTTTCAAAATAAAGAAAGAAAAATTTCACTTTTACATAATAAAATTCTATTCCATAATTAATTCCGTTCCTAAATACTTTGTAAGTCTCCACGAACCGATTCCTCTATTTTTCGTTTTTCGTTGATGGGAGTAGCCACTGTTTTTATTTTCGAAAGAGCTATGAGGAAAAAGCGTTATTCTGGAGGACGGAATATTCTTCCGAACTGAATAGAAAAATAAAATTGAATTATGCATGACTTCATTGACCCAAAGAGACGATACGACGGAGAGAGAAAGAGCCTCGTGAAGGAATAATTCAGCGTCTGCCAGCACCGATTTGAAAATTCTCCAGCGCGATCGATAGCCGGTAACGTTTCCTTTCAAAGCGCGGAGAAAACGCATTTAACTCTCGAGGATATTTTCCGCCACTTCGCTTGTCCAGAAACGGTTCCATTTTTCCCGTGAATTCATAAAGTCTGATCTTTTCAACTTTATCATACTTAAAGTATAAACGTTTTTCCAGTACTCTAATTTTTTAAAGATAAGCCGTTAATGTTCGTCGTTCATTATAATAAAATTATAGGAGGATCCTTAAAAAATTTAAATAGCACCATTCAATCTTTACATAGAAATCGAAATATTTCAAGAAAAATAAATTTATATAAAACAATATCTTTAAGTAAATATGAAATACAATATATTTAATTTAAGAGTCACATAGTAGCTAAACTTTTCAATACCTTAAAATATAAAATTCCTGAAAATTATTTTTATTAATGCAAATAGTTTACTTATACAAATTTTACTGTACAAAATTTCCTTTGATCTCCTCTCCTTTGAAACGTGCGTATCCTCAGGACGCATCGTTATCTCGAGAATTAATCAGCAGAAAAGTCTCGGGTAATTCAGATCCTATATAGCCAGATGGTAATCGACTCGGAAATGAAAAGCACAGCTTGTATCTACAGGTGCATAGGCTCGGCTTAAAATTAATTACGTGAGATTCGTCTGCAGCGAGCAGCAGTCATAATTAAGATCCGATGCCAGGATACGAACCTCCTCGTAATGCTATTACGCGTGCACAGTCATGGAATTAGGAAGTCTACAGGGTCTCTCGTCGAGGTCTCGTTCGTTTGCTTTCTCCGCGAAAAGGAGCCCGATAATTCTTCTGCGTAACGTGTGTACCCGAGCAATCTCGAAAATTTGTTGCCCTAAAATTATAGAGCACCGCATAAGAACTTATTAGACGAGATCACTAGGCTAGATAATGACTGATATAAGACATAATAGAAATGATAAGAATAGGTGAACTGGTATTGTAACTGTTGTGGTACTTTCATCGAGAGTCCATATTAGGAAGTGAAATCGATTAGGAAAATGGTTCGTCGCGATTGGAACTTTTAACAGAGATACATTTATTTCACGTGTTAAAAGACTCTTTTATATAGCAGGAGAATTATATAATTTTCATATATTTATGACAATATTATTAAAATAATATTTATAATTAATTTTCATATATTTTTATTTCAATTTTAATTTTTATATTTTTATATTGACTAATTCATGTTTAATAATTTTCTTAAGTAACGAAGGTGTAAACGATAGATCGCCTCCTGTCGAAGAGTTCGTGATATTTAGTTAATAGCTACAGTCGCGTTATGTTTCGCGATCATCCACACGGTTTATTTGCCGAGCGTTTACATAAAGGCGATAAACGGATCGATTCCCATAAATCAGTGAAGGACGCCGGGCGCGGTAATGGCTGTACGGTACTATCTTGGCGTTTTAGAAAGCTCGTTTTTTTCCCTATCGTTTCTCCCCGCGAACGACACTTTTACGATCCCTAAATCCAGCCCGAGACCTCAGAGAATTAATCGGCCATCGTGCGAGCAAGCAAGCGAGCGAGCGAGCGGTTCGCTATCCTTGAAGTCTAGATCGATGCCACCCCCTTAAGTTCCGTCTCGCGGACTTTTTTCCTTGTCGCACTGCAGCAAACTTTCATCTGATATCATCGATTATCGCCGCGGCGATAACATTATGCAAACGGACCGCGGGTTTCTCACTAATAGTAATTAGATGTCTAAATAATTCTATTCGAATGGCGAACAGTACTATATTTTGTCGGCTAAGAGGCAAAACGTAATAATTCAGCTGAACGCTGAAGAATGTAACTCGACCGGTTGTTGAAGAACGTAACAATTCGATCGAGCGCTGGAAAATACAAAATTACAATTCGTTGACGCCTTTTCCTAATATGATTTTAACTTAGAAGTTCAACAAGAGTACATTAAAAACTGTTATAAAAATATTTTCATAATTCCTGTCTTTACGACGAAGACGAAGGATCTTCTCGAACCGAATAATAGATGATATTTACTGATAGACTATCACTCGGGACAGAAAAATCGCGCGCACTCAATTTGCAACGACGGTAACGTTTGTTGGATTTACGGAGGCAATATCGCGCTCGACGAGAAGAGATTTCTCCTCCGCTCGGAAAGACGGCGAGCGAGCAAGGCGGAGGCAGAGGAGAGACAGATGAATCGAGCCGTTCGACGCTCCAGCGGGCTTTGATGTAACACCACCGATTGCTTTGAACTTTCCACCGCGTCCCGACGCGTTAATGTTTGTCAGCGATTCTTTTTCGAGCACGCTTAAGCACGATTATATACCTGTTGGTATCGGTGATGAACCGTTGAAATCGCGACGTACACCGTGTCGGACACCTGTTACGCAATCGGCTTGAAAGGGAAAGCTGCTGTAATAGAAGGAAACGAGTGACAACGTATAGAATCGTAGTATGTAACGTCGGCGCAGAAATCTTGTAAATTGTCAATCGCGATAAAGGCTCACGTAACGAGAAGTGACAATCAGAGGAATAAGGATATTGTTCGCTTAAATCGCTTGTCTGTTACGTTCTTTCTATTAATATTCATCTGTCTAATGCTAAGTAACTAGGAGATTATCTGACAGATTAAATTGATAGGAAGAACAATAAAAAAAAATGTATTTTTCATTTATTAATAATGATTCCGAAGACAGAGAATACAATTGAAGAGCTAAAAGCAACAGACGGTTAAGTCGATTTTGTCTAATCTAATCACTCGAAACAATAAACAGTCGTGAACGACTCATGATATGACCATTTGTTTTATCGAACTAACTAAAAAGTTTGCTTTTTTACAGTCACCTCCAAATCGAGTTGACTGTTTGTTGCCTTGAGCTCCTCAGTTGTTCACTACAACGAGCTTGGTAGAAAGGAGATACTTATTGTTTCCATTTTTCAGGGTTTCTTTAGGCGAAGCATTCAGAAACAGATAGAGTACAGGTGTCTGAAAGACGGTAACTGTCTGGTCATCAGAATAAGTCGGAATCGCTGCCAATACTGCAGATTCAAGAAGTGCCTAGCTGTCGGCATGTCTAGGGATTGTAAGTAATCATTTACGTTGATACATGCTTTGATAATGCGAATTGCTTACATAGAGCTTTGTTTCTAACATTTGTCAATGAATCGACATTTTTTGCTCTGATTTGTAATATTAATTAATAGAAAACCTACCGACAATTTTTGCGCTATATTTATAGTTTTTAGATTTGAGTGGAATTTAGTGCTGGCGTTGGTACTTCAGTTTCGTAGCAGCTTAAATAATAATTACAACTTTAGCAGTATTATCAAATAAATTTTGTGTTCTTTTTATTTCTTATACAAATATTTAGAAACTGTCATTTGAACGGTGCATACATACTTCAATACAATAATGCGAAGTACTTACATAGAGCTTTCTTTCTAACATTTGCCAGGGAATTGACGTTTTTTTCTCTGGCTTATAATAAACGTATCGGACATCGAAGATCTGTCTTACAATAGGCTACGATGTACATATTATAATAGACCAGCGAAGCTTTCTGCTTGCGTTGTCGATGAAATCGCAATAAGCCCTTCCTAGTCTTATGATCCGCTTAAGAACCGAGTTAAATCTGCACCAGAAGCTCCGCACTCTCTTCCGTTGTTGTAATTCTCTCTACTATCGTGTAAAATACGAATCTCTTACAAATACGTTCAGTTTCTGACTAATGTGATTCACAAACTCTCGTGAAGAAATGTGAAAATAAATTTACATTAAAAATTACAAATGTTCTATCATGAAAGATAGAGAAAGAGAGAGAGAGAGAGTGTGTGGAAGGGAGGACCGAGAATATGGAATTAATTACACTGTACAATACAAGATTTCCTCGAATTTCGAATAAAATTTCGTATTCCTGAATTTTCAGCCGTGAGGTACGGCAGGGTGCCGAAACGTTCGAGAGAACGTGGACCCGAGGACGCAGTACCGACCACGACTACAACGACGACCACCACCGGTAGTGGTGTGCAGCAGCTAACGTCCTCCGCTGGTGGCAACAATAACAATAATAATACGAACAACAATAACAACAACACCAGCAGCCAGAACAATAACAACAGCCAGCCGCAGAACGCTGTACCGTGCGTGCCACCGGCCGCAGTAGTCGAAGCCGATCAGTCAGACACCGACGTGAGGCAGCTGGCCATGTCCGACGTGATACTTCAAGTTTCGCAGGCGCATTACGCTCACTGCGGCTTCACCGAGGAATCGACGAGGGGCATCGTACGGAAACCGATGATAATACCGGTAAGTTTGATACAGATCCCGGGGTGAAATTCTGAGGGAAGCGGACGCGACGGCAGTACATACAACCCGCGATACGATTTCGGGACGAATCGTTTACTTTCACAGTTTTACCCATACTTTGCGCTGCAATGACGAGGCAGACTCGTCGTGACGTTTTAATGGCCAACTGCGCAGTGACGAGCTATACTCGTCATGCAATTAGGAATGACATTTGCATAAACTATCAAAAAGTTTTGTTATAATTTAATCAGTAGTTGTTAGCAAGGGTTACTGTGAATATCAGTCAATTGTATTTTTAGTAAGTAACATCATGTATGATGAATAAATTAATTAATTAAGTAATTAATAAAGTAGATGAATTGTATCCCTGCGCTATCGCATCCGCTTATGTTTATTAGTTGACAGAATTGAAACAATAGATAGTGACGAAGTTCGTGCTGGAACTGGCAGCAACGCCTGTTTCTTTTTATAATCCTGCTGATTAGGCGAGTACTTCTTCGCAGCCGGCCAGTCCTGAAGACCCAGAGGCGGCATCCTCGACAGCGGAGACCGTCGAGTCGCAGAGGATTTGGCTCTGGCAACAGTTCGCCACCAGAATAACACCGTCCGTGCAAAGGGTGGTCGAGTTTGCCAAAAGGGTGCCGGGATTTTGCGATCTTTCGCAGGACGATCAGCTAATCCTGATTAAGGTCGGTTTCTTTGAGGTCTGGCTAAGCCATATCTCGAAGATGACCACCGACAGCTCGATGACATTTGAAGACGGTACTTATATCACTAGGCAGCAAATGGAATTGATGTACGAGGTAAGGATCATTCCAGAACATTTCCCAAATAAAACATAACAATTCGTTATACTGGAATATAAATTACTAAAAATTCTTTCTTTTCTAAGTGGTCTGTCCCGAAAGTATTCGACTTGTACTTTTGATCTTGAGTAGAAAAAGGTAGATAACTGTACATTTTTGCCATGTGCAGAGGATCTAAAAGTATTTCTCTCAATTAGTTCTTCAGTTGATTATTAATTATTATAGCATTCAACGCGATTTGAACAGACTTCAGAATTAGTTGTTACGGAATAGACTGTCCCTCAATATCGTCAAATTGAAACACATTTGTTTCAATTGTGCGATTAATAAATTTTATTAATCTATATCAATGAAAAATACTAATAATTAATGAATGTGTAATAACACAGCCAGACTTCGTGTCCGCTCTGATGCAATTCTCCTCGGCCTTAAACGGCCATCAACTGACGGACGCTGAGTTGGGTCTTTTCTCCGGCGCCGTCCTCCTGAGCGAGAGACCGGGTCTGAACGACGTGAAGGCAGTGCAGAGGCTTCAGGATCGCCTTTTGGATGCACTCAAAGTGCAAATATTACGAAATCACACGGTTTCCGGCGAACCTACTTCCGCAGGCAGCTGTTCCAGCGTCTCAAGTGTCTCGCAAAGGATACCGGAATTAAGAGCCCTGGGTGCCAGACACGCGAATCTCCTCGACTGGTTCAAAAGGAACTGGACGAAGCTCAAGTTGCCGCCCCTCTTCGCCGAGATATTCGACATTCCCAAGTGCGAGGAAGATCTTCAGTGAAGAGGTAACTTCTTATTTCAATTTATATTATTCAACGTCGATGATACGTGATCGATAGTAGTTACGATTTATTAAAGACAGTCACGTGACTTTCCTAACGTTTATCTGTGTTTTTTAATATTTATTCCTATCTTACCGATAATAGTGTAAAATTTATGCCATTCGATTCTACATCTTTATTTCGCAAAGAATCAGAACAAAATTCGTTTAAGCTACATTCCAGTGCACTCTGGTTCGTATTTTATTCAGGATAATCTCTGTTCGGTGTAAAATCCCAAACTACGTAACTACGATTTTTGAATCACCTTGTAGCATTTATTGCATTAATCTGAAAAGATTCCCTGGAAACGAAGTTTAACCCATATTTTTGGTCAATTTAGTGGGCAACATTAACATTTCTGCCTTATCTTGTCGCTATCGCTTCCTTAAATCCAATACAGTACCTAACAATTCGATCCTTGCCCAACTATATGTATAGTTCGATTTCGTTTCTCCACAAATCCATTTTATCTGCAATTCTAAGAGTTCTAACCGGAACGCATCGACTTAAAAAAATGTTTCAGAGTAGATCGATTTATTTCGATGAGAACAAACGGCCCTGTCGGGAAGAATCTTTCTAATTGCCAGCGGTCATCGCACAAATATAGCTCGGGCGACCCGAGAACGATTTGTTTTCGCTCGCTAGCGATGATGCACAGCGTCGCAACGACGAGACGGAGCTCGGTTCGATCGAAACGGACGCGCGGAGGATTGATGCGAGCCATGCGAAGCGTCGTACACGGGTATATCTCGTCGTCATCACCGTTGGATCTACGATGCACTGTTCGCTTCATTGACGTACGGGGCGGAAGATGGATCGTTTCTAAACGAAGGGTACAGATTGCTGTTCGAATCGCACCTGGCACGAGACGTACGAGGAGGGTAGAGATATTATTCGATTAACAAGGATAGGTGATCATGCAACGCGGATAATCGACGATTGAACCGATCGATACCTAATAACGTATTGTGCGAAGCACAAACGGACAACTTTAAAAAAATAATTAGATTTTTAAAAGACGAGATACTCTTCTTTCCTTCGAGGTAATCTATAGAAACGAAATTATCATCGATCGTTCCCAACGTCGCGAGAGCGAAGGGTGGGGGTTCGAAACGGGTCGGTGATGATTTTTATCTGCTGCGCGCTTAATCAAAAAGCGGAGCGTTACTTAAAATACTCAAAACGTCGAGGAGGAGGAGGCGAAACTAAATCTCGTGCGCGTCGCGTTGTTAGTCCCGTGCATATCGTTGACTGCAATAACCGCGGCGCAGTGGTCGAGCATGCGCCGCGACGAAAAGATAGCACAAAAGTCGTGATCAATTTACAGACGTATTTATTATTACGATTCTCGAGCGAAAGTTTCGAAGTATCCACTAGACGAGGATCGTCTGTAGCATTTAAAGAGAGACGAGCGCGACGACGACGACGACGACCCACCGACGACGTCTGGTGGGATCCCGTGGATTTCCCTGCGCAGTACGCGGCTCGCTCGAACTCGTAGACATATCGAAAACCGTAATATCGTATTTTTTTCATGCGATCAGCCAGTGTAACAAACTGTCCATCCTCATACTGTGAAGACTGGGTGAACCGGCGGACGGTCGCGCCCACTACGAAACGAATAAGCGCGGCGGCGAGGCGCATAGGGACGATGAGTCCCGGTGGCCGGTCGCAGGTCGCGAACGACACTTATACACTTATACAAAATAAAAGTTAAAAAAATGGTTACACGCTATAAATATGAAAAGCTCAAGAGAGGGGGAATATTTATAGGACGTACGTGTCTCTCTAGATGCATCCGCTACAAATCTCAATCTATGCAATCTCTATTTTTATTACTTGACAAATAGTATAGTAAATTACCGTTATAGGTATTGTTGCGTCGCTTCAGGGTGCGTTTCCCGCGGAAGGATCTCGAACGAGGATGTTCTTTCGTTGTCAACTTTTTTTAATTCTCGGTACGAAGTTTCCGAACGAACAAAGTTAAAGGATAGAAATGGGTAGGGGAGGGGGGAGGAGGAGGAGGTGTTATGTACTCGTGATCGTTGCGTTAAAAGGGAAGGGGGACGTATAATTTGTTATCGGACGAAAATCGTTTTTCGATTGTTGACAAGATCCTGAAGTGAGCATGTTTAAATCTTCGAACTCTTGAACACTAATAACTCTCTGACAATGACTAGGATGTAATGTGTATCGATATGTAATTTAATATACATATGAATACGTACGGGACTGTATACAGTGGTGGGGGAAGGGGCATTTTTAAAGTTACAGAGGGCACTATAATTTATGAAGAGGAAACTATATTTTATAATAGCGATCAATGTAAATGACGAGAGATAATTATATGTATAAAGGCGACGAAAGATATATATTATATTTAACGGAAGCAACAAGATGAAAAACTTAACCAGCCGTAAATACGTTTGATTAAATTCTTTATCGATATATTTATATTCCGCCCTTTCTTAAGTTACTACCATAAATTAACTCATCGTGATATACCATAATTTCTCGATTCCCCTGTAAGACGTTTGAGACAATTCCTGTTAATGTTTTTTAGTAGTAACTTTTCTATAATTTGTTTACAATTTCTACGTTAGTTTTACTCGAGTGAATAAAGGAACGTGGGACAAAATGAATGAACATCTACATATCAAAGAGCGAGGAAATTTTAAAAGCCGGTCATAGCAATGATAAAATGTAGCATTAAAATGACGATTAGAAAATGGTGTACGAGGATATCGATTCAGAACTTTTTCTCACCACTGTATACACGATATATTCACGGTGAGAAACGGAGACGATGTAAGTTTATCTATTAGAGAAATTAATGTTTTATCTAAATATATAGCGTCGTACTTAAATTAAATATAATATAACGTCGGTATATCGCTGTCGCTAAAAACAAAAAAAAACCGAAGAAAATATGGAAAAAGACTATCTTCATGATATTAGCAGGAAGGAAGGATTCCAATTAAGCGCTCACATCAAGTTGTGAATAAACATATCATACCTAATTAATATATTGATCAAAGAAGGAATATCATCGTTTAATAATAATATAAATATGAATCTATATATATTATATATATATTAAAAGAATATATATAAAGATTATATAAATCTATATGCAAGAGGAATAGTTATTAAACTCATTATGTTGAGCGTAGATCTACGGTGGTGTAGGCCATCTCTTAACTTGCTGATGCAAAGAAAGGGACATCCTTTTTCTAATTCCTCTAAAAGAATCACAGTAATTAACAACCGAGTTCTCCGGATCTATTACAATCTACCAAAAAAAAAAACAGATCTGCGCCAGAAAGTGAAATAACAAAACAGTAAATACTACGGGTGTGCATTCAAAAATTCGGCTTGGGAATTTTTTACGGATTTGTGCAAGATCCCAAATGTTTGTCGAATACATAAATTTATTTGAACTCGACTTGATATCAAACATCACTCC